TGAAAAACACGGTAAAACACAATACATTTCGGTAAAAACTACACAAACCGGTGTTTTTGGACAGTTTTTTTTACCAAAAAATCCACTTTTTTGGTAAAAAGCTGTCAAAAATGCAAATGCTGAAAAACGCAGGAAAACGCTGTTAAACGCTAATGCAAAAATGCTAACAAAAAGCTGCAAAACTCACGTTTGTAACGTGACTTTACACAGCTAACGTTACCAGCGTTATCAACACCCCGTGTGCATGGAGCCTTAGAATCAGGGTTGTAGGGACAAGAACTGTTTTTTTTTTTATTATACATTCAGAGTCTCTTAAGTAAAGCTTTGAAACCTTTCCTCTGCCTGGTCTGAAGTAATTTAAAGGAGTGCAATGAAGTAACCAGGACATTTCTACAGTCATTGAGTCTCTACCATATTGGGGTATGAAGAGATATAGCACTTAAAGTGTTACTAAACCCAAAACAGTAAAATCAGTCTGTATATGCTGTAAAGGGGGGGGGGGGGGAGCTGCACATGCTTAGTTTGGTGTGTATTGCTAGAGAGTTTTTCTTTTTTCTTAGGAGAGTGCAGTCAGTACTAACCATACAGAGGATCAGGGGTCATGCAGCCTCATAGGACAGTCAGAGGAGAATTAAGACCCCTCCTATCAGCTTTAACCAGTGCTCTGCTGGACACTAATAGAAGTCACAAGACTGTTGTATACTGCTGATGATAAAAAAGTATTTATCAGTTTATATTTACTAAAATGATTGCATTTCCCTGTTCTGTGTACTGTGGGAGACCAGATATAGTGAATGCAGGGTCCGGGGTTTAGTAACACTTTTGGAGTCATCATGGTGCAGTACAACAAGTGGTTACCATGAGTAACAGAAGTCTACAGTCAGGTAATGCAGAATGTCGGTAGTGTGTACCTGTTATAGGTGGAACAACCTCTAGCAGCGAGGGAGATGTTGTTGGCTCTCTTTCCACCATGGTCTGTCTCCCACAGAAGTAGAGGCGGACTTGCACTACAGAGGTCCCATCCTGTACAGAGGTATGGAACCTCAAGAGTCAAGTCAAGTACATGTGTGGAGCCTGGGCTAGGTGCACCACAGGGTCCTCTTTTCTAATGGGAAAGGTAGTGGAATACGCTGGTCAGATGGCTCTGGACAAAGCTCAGAGTGTTCCTCCTAATTGCAGATTACAGTGGAAAGATGTACATTTACATGGGGACCCAAGAGTTAACTGGAGAACAGTTGTGGTGCAAATATACATAGTGCACATTCATCTCTAAGAGTAGAGGCCTGCCTTAAGGTTGAGTATCTCCCCCCCCCCCGGACAGCCTCAACCTTGCCCTAGGATATTGATGAACACTGGCACAAGGATAAAGGTACACCATATGTGTAGTAGAGTGATCCTGTTACAGGTGTCTACCGTAGCCCAGAAGAACCCACCATGGGGTAAGCCTTCAATGCGACCCACACTTGGCACCCAACGAGGACGGGAACATGGAGGAAGTGTCACCTGCCTGCCCTACAAGTTGGTGGTTATCTCCAACTCCCCCTCTAGCTTCCCAGGTGTTTCTTTTAATACACCCTCCTGTTCGCTCCTCTGGCTCTCAGGTACTTTTGGGGACAATAGTTCTTTTCCAGCCATAGAAATGGCTCCATTCTCTGCCTAAACTATGTTTCTCAGAGTTCTGCAGTCCAATCCCAACAACAAGCATATTCACTGCTGCCATCGTGTGGAGAAAAAAGAATGTTGCATGGTCCACTAACATTAGTCCAGTTACATACTGTATTTTTTGCTCCATAAGACGCACTTTTTTCCCCCAAAAAAATGGGGGAAAATGTCTGTGCGTCTTATGGAGCGAACATGGAGCGGCCGGCCTGGAATTCCCGCCACTGCTACCGTGTTAGAATACCGGGCCGGCCGCTCAGCCCTTCTGTGCTCCTCGATCCTACCTGTTCCTCGGTCCAACGGAGCCCTCATCGTCTTCTCTTCTGGGGCCGGCATCTTTAGTGTGGGAACCCAGCTGTGACAGCTTGCGGCTTCACAGCCGTGTACCCACTGCACATGCGTGAGAAGCGCTGCACTTTGTGAATGGTCCAGCAGTCTTCTGGAACCTATCACATGTCCCAGAAGACAGGGAGGGAGGACAGCCTCCCCAAAGTTCCGCAGTGTTTGGTGATCTCCTGTACTATGTCCGCAGTCTCTGGTCATCTCCTGTATTGTGTCCGCAGTCTCTGGTCATCTCCTGTACTGTGTCCGCAGTCCCTGGTCATCTCCTGTACTGTGTCCGCAGTCTCTGGTCATCTCCTGTACTGTGTCTGCAGTCTCTGGTCATCTCCTGTACTGTGTCCGCAGTCTCTGGTCATCTCCTGTACTGTGTCCGCAGTCTCTGGTCATCTCCTGTACTGTGTCTGCAGTCTCTGGTCATCTCCTGTACTGTGTCTGCAATCTCTGGTCATCTCCTGTACTGTCCGCAGTCTGTGGTCATCTCCTGTACTGTGTCCGCAGCAGTCTCTGGTCATCTCCTGTACTGTGTCCGCAGTCTCTGGTCATCTCCTGTACTGTGTCCGCAGTCTCTGGTCATCTCCTGTACTGTCCGCAGTCTCTGGTCATCTCCTGTACTGTGTCCGCAGTCTCTGGTCATCTCCTGTACTGTGTCCGCAGTCTCCGGTCATCTCCCGTACTGTGTCCGCAGTCTCCGGTCATCTCCTGTACTGTGTCCGCAGTCTCTGGTCATCTCCTGTACTGTGTCCGCAGTCTCTCCTGTATTGTGTCATCTCCCGTACTGTGTCCGCAGTCTCTGGTCATCTCCTGTACTGTGTCCGCAGTCTCTGGTCATTCTGGTCATCTCATCTCCTATACTATGTCCGCAGTCTCTGGTCATCTCTGTACTATGTAGTCTCTGTCATCTCCTGTACTGAGTCCGCAGTCTCTGGTCATCTCCTGTACTGTCTGCAGTCTCTGGTCATCTCCTGTACTGGTCATGTCCGCAGTCTCTGGTCATCTCCTGTACTATGTTCGCAGTCTCTGGTCATCTCCTGTACTGTGTCCGCAGTCTCTGGCCATCTCCTGTACTATGTCCGCAGTCTCTGGTCATCTCCTGTACTGTGTCCGCAGTCTCTGGTCATCTCCTGTACTATGTCCGCAGTCTCTGATCATCTCCTGTATTGTGTCCGCAGTCTCTGGTCATCTCCTTGTACTATGTCCGCATCTCCTGTACTTGTGGTCATCTCCTGTACTATGTCCGCAGTCTCTGGTCATCTCCTGTACTGTGTCCGCAGTCTCTGGTCATCTCTGTACTATGTCCGCAGTCTCTGGTCATCTCCTGTACTGTGTCGCAGTCTCTGGTCATCTTCCTGTACTATGTCCGCAGTCTCTGTACTATGTCATCTCCTGTACTATGTCCGCAGCAGTCTCTGGTCATCTCCTGTACTATGTCCGCAGTCTCTGGTCATCTCCTGTACTATGTCCGCAGTCTCTGGTTATCTCCTGTACTATGTCCGCAGTGTTTGAACATTTCCTGTACTATGTCCGCAGTCTCTGGACATTTCATGTACTATGTCTGCAGTCCATTGGCTCAGAATATTTGTTTTCTTGTTTTCCTCCTCTAAAACCTAGGTGCATTGTATGTATATAAAGCATAAAAACAGTTAAGGCCCATTTACATGTGTTGTGGTTCTCCATAGCAATAGCTTGTTTTCCCATCTCAGCACTGCAGTGCAGTCTGTTTTGAAAAATTTTACATATCCATTCTTTTCCGCCTTTTAAGGTAGATTCACACTAATCTGGCGCAGTCCCATCATAGACCCCCCCCCCTGCAAGATAGGGTAAAATGCCTTGCCTTTTACCAGGTCAGCATGCAGTACTTTTTTTTTAGCACAGCACAATATGAAGCAATCCACTGCCTCGCACTGCACCACAGCCAACAGAACTTAATGTAATAACACTGTGTGACATTTCGATAAAGTTTGTTTTAAAAAACTAAAAGTGAACAGTTTGATGCGCTGCAATCGGCGCATCAGTACTGCTGTCACTCTTCCACATCCCACCACACTGGTGTGAATGTACCCTCCATGTATTGGGAGGTAAAAACAAACAAACAGAAAATAATGATAAAATATAGCATTACAATGAAACACACACACTCTGCGTACAGTTTTTGATTTTCACTGATTGACAAAAAAAGTCACAATTTAAAATATATACTTTTTATTACTAACACGTGATGCTTTAGATTGAAGAGTTACTAAAGGCAAAACTTTTTTTTTGTTTTTTTTGGATACAATGGAGAGGCATTAGAACAATGTCAGTTTTTATTGCTGTCTGTGTCCCCATTAGGGAGTTTATCCCTCCCTATTTGTCCTGTTTACTGTTATCATCGAAAGTGAACGTAAAAGAGAATACCAAATTTAGGACTGACTTTAGAACAGGAATAGAGGGGACATTCTTCCAATGGGGACCATAATTCTGGTGACAACCAGGGAATCCCTCACTTTGGAGGGATTTCCTCTCATTTCCTATTCTTGCTATTAGAAGGGAAGTGAAGGGAAATCTCCCCAACAGGGCACAGATGTAATAAAAAAAAAAACGGACAGGGGTTATAACCCTTCCTTACTCTATCTGAACTGGGGAAACATTTTTTGCCTGTAGTGACATTTTAGGCTGTGCTGTGTTTACGAGGGCTAAGAGCAATTTTAACTTATTTTTTGAAAATATAACTTTGATAAACATCTGCGTAACTATCACAGGGCATACAAATTCAGTAGGGATGCCTTTTCATTCTATTTATTCGGTGCTTTCGGAAAATACATTGTCTGTGTGGTCTTTTCCGAAGTTTGCTTTTTAACCGCTTGCGTACCACCTGTCCGCAATGCACTCGCTGCCTGCTTCCGGGTTTAGGGCGTGCACATGCATGTCCCCCCTTGCTGTCACCCTACTGTATTTGTACACAGCGGGAGCCTGTCATTGAGTCCGGGCCAAATGATTCATGGTCCAGAACTACTGATCGGCTGTGTGCAATCACAGCCCAGAGCTCTGGGTTGGCACTCAACACAGAGCTCAATACAGAGGGAACAATTTCTCTATTTCTCATCATGCAAAGCAGGGATTATTAGTAAAAGCAGCATGCTTTACACAAATTACACATAGTTAGGCACACATTTAACCCCTTGATCACCCTAAATGTTAACCCCTTCCCAGCCAGTGTAATTAGTACAGTGACAATGTACAGTATTGTCACTGATCACTGTATTAATGTCAGTGGAAATGTCAATGACAGTAAGCCCCCCCCCCCCCCCCCAGTGTCAGCTAGTGTCAGATTGCCTGACGCACTAGCACAGTCCCATTATAAGTCGCTGATCACTGCCATTAGTAGTATAAAAAGTAAAGAAAAAAAATTCCAGTATATATCTCATAGTTTGTAGACACTATAACTTTAATGCAAACCGTTTTATTAAAAACATGTAGCTGAATACATTTTGGCCAAAATTTATGAAGAACTTTAATTTTTTAAATTTTGTTATTGGATATGTTTTGTAACAGAAAGTAAAAACATTGTTTGTTTTTTTAATTTTCAATCTTTTTTTCATTTATATCGCAAAAAATATCAAAAAGCTCTGTTTGTTTGAAAGAAAATTATATAAATTTCGTATGGGTACAGCGTTGCATAACCACGCAATTGCCAGTTGAAGTAGCGCAGTGCTGAATAGCAAAAAGTAAAGTGGCCTGGTCATGACGGGGGTAAAATCTGCTGGAGCTCAAGTGGTTTATTGTTTTTTATGCATTAGGGTAATACATGTGAGGGGTGTTTATACATGCTTTCCTTTACGGTGGTTTTGTGATTTTACGTTTTTGAGATTTGTAGTTTACCTATGGCATAGATAAGCATTTTAGTTACTTATTCATATGCAGCGGTGCAAACATTTTTTCAGAACAATTGAGGTTGTAGTATTATTATTATTACGCAGGATTTATACAGTGCCAACAGTTTGCTCAGCACTGTACTCTCTAGCTCCCTGGTCTCCTCCTCCCACGCCCGATTGCAGGACTTCTCTAGGACTTCCCCCATCCTCTGGAACTCCCTACCCCAATCCATCAGACTGTCACCTACCCTCCTCACCTTCAGGCGCACCCTGAAAACCCATCTCTTCAGGGAAGCCTACCACAACCTCACCTAACACCTGACCTCACCTAACAACTAACCTCCTCCACTCCTCCCACCACTCCATCCCCCACAGCCATTTCCTCCTGTACCACCTTCCCCTCCCTCCTAGATTGTAAGCTCGAAAGAACAGGGCCCTCGAACCCCTCGTGTATTGTATTGTTACTGTCTTGTCTCATGTTCTGTCCCCCTTGCTACTGAACAGCGCTGAGCATACCCTTTGGCGCTATATAAATACTGTATAATAATAATAATAATTATAATAGTAGTGTAGTAGTGTGCTTAATGGTCATTATCTTGAACATTTAACCTGTATTTACACCTTTGTGATGCTTCTCATTGTTTCCCACATTTTTTGTCGGGATTGTTGTGTGACAGCATAGGGCAGCCCAATCACTGCACATATACGTCCGCAGCGCCAGGGGTCTGTGTGCTAGGAGTGTGTTTAGTGCGCACCAGCGGCGGACTGACCATTTGGAAACTCGGGCACTGCCCGAGGGCCTGGGGTCAGTAGGGGGCCCCATGAGATGCCCCTGGTAACTTTTTCATAGGCTTTTTTGAGTTTGGGCATGAAACACAGGGGCCCCATGATCCCCTATTGCCAGGGGGTGGGGGGGTGGGGGGGGCCCCATGAGTTGTCAGTCCGCCCCTGGTGCGCTCTCTCAGCACACTTACCAACAGCTCCTGGTAAAGGCTTCTGATTAGGAGCCAACAGGAGAGGCTCCAAATCATATGATCAATGTAAGAGCCAATAACAGCAGTCATGCAAAAGCTGCACCACCTCCTGGGTATTAAATCCCACTTAAATGGGTAGGTAGCGTTAGAGGGTTAACAATAAAATCCATTAACAAGAGGTGGCGGTTTCACCAAGGAGCACTGCAAAAATAATGCTGAAAATAGGAGCAATATATAAACCATTGGATGGGCATGCCAGGCAGACAACCAGCAATGTCTGAAGGAGAGATCAGCAATGGTGAGACCATAATACTCAGTATAGGTTTTCTTTTTGCTAAGCTCATCCTGTAATAATCATTTTCAGGCACTAGATGTCACTATATTATATTATATTACACAGCTCCTATTACATTCCCTTGGCCCTCCCACCAGCAGATAGAATGGGAGTAATACAGGGAAAATGTTAGTGAAGACCAGCAAGCGTACATATTATCACATTACATTCACTTTATTTTAAATGTGAGCTCCAGATGTCTGTGTACTGAAGTGTAAAACTCCAACACTCCAATTTCCCAGCTGCTACAGTGATTATCATTGGAGTAGATCTTCTCTTGGCCATGTTAACTATTGCGGCGCAGTGTGTACAGAATAAGGCCTTCTTCACACGGGTGATTAGGGGAGTACACCGGATTCCAGCGGCAAGAATCAGCAAATTCTTTCGTCTGAGATGACAGGTGTATGTGAACAGCGAC